AGTGTGTTACAGATATTCCTGAGTAGTCTGAACCAGCGTGTTACACATATTCCAGCATAAGTCTGAACCAGCATGTTACAGATATTCCAGCATAAGTCTGAACTAGCGTGTTACAGATATTCCAGCATAAGTCTGAACCAGCGTGTTACTGATATTCCAGCAGTCTGAACCAGCGTGTTACACATATTCCAGCATTAGTCTGAACCAGCGTGTTACAGATATTCCAGCATAGTCTGAATCAGCGTGTTACAGATATTCCTGAGTAGTCTGAACCAGCGTGTTACTGATATTCCAGCATAGTCTGAACCAGCGTGTTACACATATTCCAGCATAGTCTGAATCAGCGTGTTACAGATATTCCTGAGTAGTCTGAACCAGCGTGTTATTGATATTCCAGCAGTCTGAACCAGCGTGTTACACATATTCCAGCATTAGTCTGAACCAGCGTGTTACAGATATTCCAGCATAGTCTGAACCAGTGTGTTACAGATATTCCAGCATAGTCTGAACCAGTGTGTTACAGATATTCCAGCATAAGTCTGAACCAGCGTGTTACAGATATTCCAGCATAGTCTGAATCAGCGTGTTACAGATATTCCAGCATAGTCTGAACCAGCGTGTTACAGATATTCCAGCATAGTCTGAATCAGCGTGTTACAGATATTCCTGAGTAGTCTGAACTAGCATGTTACAGATATTCCAGCATAGTCTGAATCAGCGTGTTACAGATATTCCAGCATAGTCTGAACCAGCGTGTTACAGATATTCCAGCATAGTCTGAATCAGCGTGTTACAGATATTCCAGCATAGTCTGAATCAGCGTGTTACAGATATTCCTGAGTAGTCTGAACCAGCGTGTTACAGATATTCCAGCAGTCTGAACCAGCGTGTTACTGATATTCCAGCAGTCTGAACCAGCGTGTTACACATATTCCAGCATTAGTCTGAACCAGCGTGTTACAGATATTCCAGCATAGTCTGAACCAGCCGTGTTACAGATATTCCTGAGTAGTCTGAACCAGCGTGTTACTGATATTCCAGCAGTCTGAACCAGCGTGTTACACATGAGCAGTCTGAACCAGCGCATACAGATATTCCAGCATAGTCTGAACCAGCGTGTTACAGATGTTCCTGAGTAGTCTGAACCAGCGTGTTACAGGATATTCCTGCAGTCTGAACCAGCGTGTTACACATATTCCAGCGTTAGTCTGGACCAGCATGTTACAGATATTCCAGCATAGTCTGAATCAGCGTGTTACAGATATTCCTGAGTAGTCTGAACCAGCGTGTTACTGATATTCCAGCAGTCTGAACCAGCGTGTTACACATATTCCAGCATTAGTCTGAACCAGCGTGTTACAGATATTCCAGCATAGTCTGAACCAGTGTGTTACAGATATTCCAGCATAGTCTGAACCAGTGTGTTACAGATATTCCAGCATAAGTCTGAACCAGCGTGTTACAGATATTCCAGCATAGTCTGAATCCAGTGTTACAGATATTCCAGCATAGTCTGAACCAGCGTGTTACAGATATTCCAGCATAGTCTGAATCAGCGTGTTACAGATATTCCTGAGTAGTCTGAACTAGCATGTTACAGATATTCCAGCATAGTCTGAACCAGCGTGTTACAGATATTCCAGCATAGTCTGAACCAGCGTGTTACAGATATTCCAGCATAGTCTGAATCAGCGTGTTACAGATATTCCAGCATAGTCTGAATCAGCGTGTTACAGATATTCCTGAGTAGTCTGAACCAGCGTGTTACAGATATTCCAGCAGTCTGAACCAGCGTGTTACTGATATTCCAGCAGTCTGAACCAGCGTGTTACACATATTCCAGCATTAGTCTGAACCAGCGTGTTACAGATATTCCAGCATAGTCTGAACCAGTGTGTTACAGATATTCCAGCATAGTCTGAACCAGTGTGTTACAGATATTCCAGCATAAGTCTGAACCAGCGTGTTACAGATATTCCTGAGTAGTCTGAACCAGCGTGTTACTGATATTCCAGCAGTCTGAACCAGCGTGTTACACATATTCCAGCATTAGTCTGAACCAGCGTGTTACAGATATTCCAGCATAGTCTGAATCAGCGTGTTACAGATATTCCAGCATAGTCTGAACCAGCGTGTTACTGATATTCCAGCATAGTCTGAACCAGCGTGTTACACATATTCCAGCATAGTCTGAACCAGCGTGTTACAGATATTCCAGCATAGTCTGAACCAGTGTGTTACAGATATTCCAGCATAGTCTGAACCAGTGTGTTACAGATATTCCAGCATAAGTCTGAACCAGCGTGTTACAGATATTCCAGCATAGTCTGAATCAGCGTGTTACAGATATTCCAGCATAGTCTGAACCAGCGTGTTACAGATATTCCAGCATAGTCTGAATCAGCGTGTTACAGATATTCCTGAGTAGTCTGAACTAGCATGTTACAGATATTCCAACATAGTCTGAATTAGCGTGTTACAGATATTCCAGCATAGTCTGAACCAGCGTGTTACAGATATTCCAGCATAGTCTGAATCAGCGTGTTACAGATATTCCAGCATAGTCTGAATCAGCGTGTTACAGATATTCCTGAGTAGTCTGAACCAGCGTGTTACAGATATTCCAGCATAGTCTGAACCAGCGTGTTACAGATATTCCAGCAGTCTGAACCAGCGTGTTACACATATTCCAGCATTAGTCTGAACCAGCGTGTTACAGATATTCCAGCATAGTCTGAACCAGTGTGTTACAGATATTCCAGCATAGTCTGAACCAGTGTGTTACAGATATTCCAGCATAAGTCTGAACCAGCGTGTTACAGATATTCCTGAGTAGTCTGAACCAGCGTGTTACAGATATTCCTGAGTAGTCTGAACCAGTGTGTTACAAATATTCCTGAGTAGTCTGAACCAGCGTGTTACAGATATTCCTGAGTAGTCTGAACCAGAGTGTTACTGATATTTCAGCATTAGTCTGAACCAGTGTGTTACAGATATTCCTGAGTAGTCTGAACCAGTGTGTTACAGATATTCCTGAGTAGTCTGAACCAGCGTGTTACACATATTCCAGCATAAGTCTGAACCAGCATGTTACAGATATTCCAGCATAAGTCTGAACCAGCGTGTTACAGATATTCCAGCATAAGTCTGAACCAGCGTGTTACAGATATTCCAGCATAGTCTGAACCAGCGTGTTACACATATTCCAGCATTAGTCTGAACCAGCGTGTTACAGATATTCCAGCATAGTCTGAACCAGCGTGTTACAGATATTCCAGCAGTAGTCTGAACCAGCGTGTTACAGATATTCCAGCATAGTCTGAACCAGCGTGTTACACATATTCCAGCATAGTCTGAACCAGCGTGTTACAGATATTCCTGAGTAGTCTGAACCAGCGTGTTACTGATATTCCAGCATTAGTCTGAACCAGCGTGTTACACATATTCCAGCATTAGTCTGAACCAGCGTGTTACAGATATTCCAGCATAGTCTGAACCAGTGTGTTACAGATATTCCAGCATAGTCTGAACCAGTGTGTTACAGATATTCCAGCATAAGTCTGAACCAGCGTGTTACAGATATTCCAGCATAGTCTGAACCAGCGTGTTACAGATATTCCAGCATAGTCTGAACCAGCGTGTTACAGATATTCCAGCATAGTCTGAACCAGCGTGTTACAGATATTCCAGCATTAGTCTGAACCAGTGTGTTACAGATATTCCAGCATAGTCTGAACCAGTGTGTTACAGATATTCCAGCAGTCTGAACCAGCGTGTTACAGATATTCCAGCATTAGTCTGAACCAGTGTGTTACAGATATTCCAGCATAGTCTGAACCAGTGTGTTACAGATATTCCAGCATAGTCTGAACCAGTGTGTTACAGATATTCCAGCATAAGTCTGAACCAGCGTGTTACACATATTCCAGCATTAGTCTGAACCAGCGTGTTACACATATTCCAGCATAGTCTGAACCAGTGTGTTACAGATATTCCAGCATAAGTCTGAACCAGTGTGTTACACATATTCCAGCATTAGTCTGAACCAGCGTGTTACACATATTCCAGCATAGTCTGAACCAGTGTGTTACAGATATTCCAGCAGTCTGAACCAGCGTGTTACAGATATTCCAGCAGTCTGAACCAGCGTGTTACAGATATTCCAGCAGTCTGAACCAGTGTGTTACAGATATTCCAGGACAGAAACTGGAAGCTTTTAGTAGACGTATTAAGGGCACACACTTGCCTCAGTCATCATACAGTGGATTTCACATTACATCAAGAACAGCAGTTGTGTGAAGATCACATTCCCCCCTGGATTCCCAGCCTAGGTCTACTTTGGAGCCTTGACCACTGTTGCAACTACGTGAATATCAACATCCCCGTCTTCATCACTGCTTTTATACTCTTAAAAAAAGTAGAGGAACTTCTTTTTTTAATTTACGATTGAAAAAATTGGGAGATATATGGGAGTCAATCAATGTTGATATGATAATAATGAATGTTTTGAGAGTGCATCACCACTTGCACTTCCTTATGACCATAGTTGTTTGAACAGTAATCCCTCTTGAAAGATGATTGGTGTATCATGTGAAATTTGCATTTGTACGATTTAGAAAGAAACACTAACAACTGTGTGATGCAGGATGATTGTCAAAACTAATGGCCAACAGTGATTTATCAACCTTCTTGAAAACCGTCAAAATCAAGAATGACACCATATGCACGCGTATGGGGGTACTGCACCGTGCATGTGCATCCCATGTGTTGTGTTAAAGTGAGTGAGTTTTTTGTCCAACTATATGTCGGCAGTTGCGTTGTGTTTGGGGGTAGTGATAAAGTGGAATGGTGGTGCATTCATAAGATGTTTGTCTTTGAAAAGTTGTGAACGCTTATACTTCCTATCCAAATTAAAACTTCAGGTGCCCCTACGTTTTTTAAGAGTATATATTGCCATTGTATTTGTACAAGCAGTGAATACTGAGGATGGGGTCACCCACCTACTAATCCTATGATGCATAATGTAATAGATATATCACAGTTTTTCATCCTCAGCTCCTGTCTCAAGGCACTGAAGAATCCATCCAGCGCAAACTTGGAGGCAGAATATGGAGCTACAAAAGGGATGGCCACTTTCCCTGAAACACACGGCACAAGGATTTAAATGGCCATCTTTGAAATATAATCAGCAATCCTGAAACAGGGCAAGGTATTGACATGGCTGTCTTGAGACAGCGTCAGGGTTGCTGAAAGACAACAAGCAGATGGATATAAATGGCGTCCAGGTAGTTTGGAGTAAAACAATACTTACACACTTTCAAAAGGGCACAAAACAAATTATTTGATTAAGTGCTTTAAACACAATTCGAATGCATAAATACATCTTAATACCTGTAAAAACTAATCAAATATCAAATGCATTTGTTCAGCAACAAACAAATTGTATAAAAAAGCAAAATCTAACTTTCTCTGAATCATGAAAAAAGGCGAATGGTATACAGTCATATAGATAAAGGGGAATAACTCCATCATGTTTAACTGTACCCCAGGGGAATTCTGCTATCACAAAGGGTGAGGTGAGGTGAGGTGAAATTCGGTTTAACATCGTGCTTGAGAATATTTCGCTCATAAGACGACGGGCATGGGTGTGTATGTGTATGTGCGGCTGCTTGTACTAGCCCAGACTTAAGCTGGTTTTATAGTGCTAGCCCACTGAGATGCCATGCCACAGTGAAGCATGAATACCCCACTCAGACACATTATTCTGACTCTGAGCCGACCAGTCCTTGAAGTACCCATTAATGCCGAGCGTCAGGCAGGGACCAACAAGTACCATATTTTAATATCTTTTGGTATGACGCGTTTGGGGACGCTCTAACCACTACACAACAGAGGCAGTCCACAAAGGGAAGTAAGCGTATTCTTATAGTAGTACAACCAGAAATTATCGAGAATTTAAAGATTGTAAATTTCTTTGTTTTTTCACTCATTACTCACGTATTTAATGTGAATATTAGCAGAACTTAACTCCTGATTCAAAGACAGGTGAACAGTTAGTATTTTGCCAGGTCACCATGGGCAGCAATGCAGGCTTCAATGCGGCGGTGCATACTACTGATCAAAGAAGTTAGAAAGTCGTGGTCCATGCTGTCCCAATATCGTACCACCTCTTCTTTCATTTCAGCAATATTTGTCAGATTTTTCTTATTGACACTTTCCTTCATAAGTCCCCAATCATTTTCTATTGGATTTAGGTCAGGGCTATAGCTTGGCCAATCTAATAATGTCATATTTTGGGTCCGAAACCAGGCCTGTGAATGCTTTGAACGATGTTTTGGGTCGTTGTCCTGCTGGAAAATCCAAAAATTTCCATAGAACACGTGAGTAGATGGAAGTAAAAGTCCCTCGAGAATATTTGTGTAACGCTTACTGTTCATATTCCTTCACACAGAGGGCGCTGCCCCCTAACACAGATATGCCACCACACACGCAAATGTCGGACTGTACTTAGGACGCTGATACAAAGGTTTTTCAGTTTGTTTGGTCCAGAAGTTCAGTGTATTAGGAAACAGCCACACAGAACTTTCATCTGAGAAAATCACATTGTCCCAGTTAAAATTTCTATGCTGTAAGCACCAGTTCAACCTTCGCTCCTTTTGGTCAGGTTTCATGATCGGTGATGGAATTCCTCGACTTTTCTGCCAACCCATTGCATGCAGCTCAGTTCTAATTGTCTCCTTACAGACAGCCACAGTTCCTCTATCAATCATATCCAGCCTTAAGTTTTCTAAACTCCTTCGTTAGTTTTTAGAAACAAGAATACCAAGCCGCCTCCTGTCACCGACAGTCAATTTTCTGGGCCTACCTGCACCTCCCTGATGCTCAATGCCATATCCATTTGCAATATTTTTCAAAACAAGATAAACAGTGGACAAAGGGATGGCTGTTCTACTTGAAATCACTTTAGCTGATCTGATGTCCTTGTTATAATACTCTAAAATGAACTTCCTCTTCTCTAAATCATCCATACTGAGAATCACTGAAAATGTCATCTGCTAGCAAGTAAACAAAGGGGGATAACTCTTCACAAACTTATGAAAAAGGATTAACGAAGTTGTCTCTCTTGAATGAAACCAAGCACTTGATAGCTGGTCAAGGTTGTTTATACTAGAAATCCAATTAAATATATTCCTAAAATTCTCAATAATTTCTGGTCATACTATAGATCATTATATAGTGAGTTGGATGTTGCTGCACAAATATTGATACTCAAGCCATGAATACTCTTTCGAGCCTCACTAGGCTCAAGCATTCAGGGTGTCCAGGTATTTCTGATCTGCTGACTTAAATGGTGATGTTCGTCAAAAGTGGTTAAATTTTACTGATTGGGTTTTCATGCTGAGTGATGCACACCTATGTGTTTTATATATGATCTACTATCTCTGATTTTTAAAAAATGAAAAGAAATTGTCTTGGAATTATTAAAATGTTAATGAAGTTTGAATAAGCCATTTGCTGGGCACAAACATTTTGTCAATAAAGAAAACAGCTTGTGAAAACAATGACATTTGATCTTAATATTCATGGGATAGCTGGGACATTTTTTAAGTTATTCCCAAAAAAAACCCCAAAATACTTATTGCAATCTTTTCATTGACACTGCAAATGAAAATAAATGCTTTGAGTCCACTTTACTGAGTTTCCTTAAGACTTATGTTTGGACTCACTCACTGTGTGAGTGAGTGAGTGAATGAGTGTAGTTTTACGCCGCACTCAGCAATATTCAAGCTATATGGCAGCGGTCTGTAAACAATTGAGTCTGGACCAGACAATCCAGTGATCAACAGCATGAGCACAAGTACTGGGATACTTGTTGACAACATAGTGGACAACATGGAGGACAGCATCGCTTTTTCTCACACAATGCATTTTTTTCAAAATCTAAAATTCGTCAGTATATGAGGGACAAACCTGTGGAACACTCTTGTAAAATGCGCCCGAATCCAACTCTAAATGTTTTCTCTTCTTTCATTATTTTTCTAGTTCTCATTGTATTTGTAAACACACTTGACAATAATTATGACATGTATATTCCAAACAGGCTGCTAATGAAGTGTCATAGCACAACAAGTAATGTTTCAGATGTGAAGACATGTTTTATACAGGGTCTGTATCAAATGGATGGACTACCACTGCAAGTGTTATTTGCCAAGTACTCCCACGCCCTGAATACACATAACGCTAACAGGCTGTCATCTTTGCTAACAGCCAAACCAGAGGAAACTCACAGCCCCGGTCATGTTGACAGTAGTTCCATAAATCTACACTTGTACCACACAGTTATCACAACAACACCAGGACATTCTCTGCAAACAACAATGTCCCCTCCCCCATGTGATGTCCCTGCCTCCCTACTGCTCCCCTCATCCTGTGCCTCCCCACCAGCCTCCCTGCCTCCCTGCTGCCTCCCTACTGCCTTCTCATCCTGCTGCCTCCCCACCAGCCTCCCTCCTACTGCTTCTCATCCTGCTGCCTCACCACCAGCCTCCCTCCCCTACTGCCTTCTGCCTCTCATCCTGCTGCCTCCCCACCAGCCTCCCTCCCTACTGCCTTCTCATCCTGCTGCCACCCCTCCCCCACTACCTCCTCTCTCATCCTGCTGCCTCCCCACCAGCCTCCCTCCCTCCCTACTGCCTCCTCATCCTGCTGCCTCCCCACTGCCTCCCTCCTCCCTACTGCCTTTCTCATCCTGCTGCCTCCCCACCAGCCTCCTCCCTCTCCCCTGCTGCCTCCCCTCACCTCCTGCCTCTCTCCTACTGCTCGCCAGCCACCAGCCCCTCCCCTCCTGCTCTCTTCTTGCCTCCCCTCCCCATACTGCCTTTCCTCTCCCTACCCTTTTTCATCCCTGCTGCCTCCCTCCCTCATCCTACTGCCCTCCAGCCTCCCTCCCTACTGCCTTCTACATCTCATCCTGCCTGCCTCCCCTGCCAGCCTCCTCCTCTTCTCCCTACTGCCCTGCCCTCCCCACCAGCCTCCCCTCCTCTTCACTGCCTTCTCATCCTGCTGCCTCCCACCAGCCTCCCTCCCTACTGCCTCTCATCCTGCTCCCTCCCTACTCCTCCTGCCTCCTCCTCCCTCCCTACTGCCCTCATCCTGCTGCCTCCCCACCAGCCTCACACCTGCTGCTCCCCTGCAGCCTCCCTACTGCCTCATCATCCTGCTGCCTCCCCACCAGCCTCCCTCCTACTGCCTTCTCATCTCCCTGCTGCCTCCCCTCACCAGCCTCTCCCCTCCCCACTGCCTCTCTTCATCCCACTGCCTCCCCACCAGCCTCCCTCCCTCCCTGCTGCCTCCCCCACCAGCCTCCCTCATCCTGCTGCCTCCCCATCCTGCCAGCCTCCCCTCCCCTACTGCCTTTCTCATCCTGCTGCCTCCCCACCAGCCTCCCTCCCCCTACTGCCTTCTCTCATCCTGCTGCCTCCCCACCAGCCTCCCTCCCTACTGCCTTCTCATCCTGCTGCCTCCCACCAGCCTCCCTCCCTACTGCCTTCCTCATCCTGCCCCACCAGCCTCCCTCCCTACTGCCTGCCCCCCACCAGCCTCCCTCCCCTGCTGCCTTCTCAGCCTCCCCCCACCAGCCTCCCTCTCTGCTGCCTTCTCATCCTGCTGCCTCCCCACCAGCCTCCCTCCCCTGCCTTCTCATCCTCCCTGCTGCCTGCTCCCTCCTGCCTCCCTGCTGCCTCCCCAGCCCTCCCTCCCTACTGCCTTCTCCTCCCCACCAGCCTCCCCCTCCCTGCCCTCCCCTACTGCCCCTACTGCCCCACTCCTCCCCACCAACCTCCCTCCCTCACTGCCTTCCCCACCAGCCTCCCTCCCTGCTGCCTCTCCCTCCCCACTGCCTCCCTCCCTACTGCCTTCTCATCCTCATCAGGAGGTGCTAACTACTATCATATGCCCCTGACTGAAACCAGCCTTATGTTGATCAGACATATTACCTGCAAAAGATGACACAACAATAACGCTGCCACTGTTTTTCTCCAGCTGTGAGAAGGCATGTGATGTGAGGTGGACGTATGCACGGAAGTTGACATCAAAGACATGCTGCAGAGATGAGAGGTTTTGAGGCGTGCCCTTCCATTCCCCCAGGGGCATTACCATGATGTGATTCAGCACCAGAATATCAATTCCCCCAAGACGTCGTTCTGCCTCCTGAAACATGATCAGACACATCACTCACAGAGACCTGAAACGTGCTGGGATTCGAACCACAGACCTTCTGATCTGAAGTTGGACGCCTTGTCCACATGACCAAAGAGGTTAACCCTGTCAGCAAGCTGACAAGGTAAGGATGTCAATCCAGGCCACACATGCATCAACACATGTACAGTTGTGACATACGTGCATTACGTTCTATATGGCCGACATATCACTTATGTCAGCTGTGACATACCTGTATTACGTTCTATATGGCCGACATATTGTTCATGTCAGCTGTGACATACCTGTATTACGTTCTGTGTAGCGGACATATCACTCATGTCAGCTGTGACATACCTGTATTACGTTCTATATGGCCGACATATCACTTATGTCAGCTGTGACATACCTGTATTACGTTCTATATGGCCGACATATCACTTATGTCAGCTGTGACATACCTGTATTACGTTCTATATGGCCGACATATTGTTCATGTCAGCTGTGACATACCTGTATTACGTTCTGTGTAGCGGACATATCACTCATGTCAGCTGTGACATACCTGTATTACGTTCTATATGGCCGACATATCACTTATGTCAGCTGTGACATACCTGTATTACGTTCTATATGGCCGACATATCACTTATGTCAGCTGTGACATACCTGTATTACGTTCTGTGTGGCTGACATATCACTCATGTCAGCTGTGACATACCTGTATTACGTTCTGTGTGGTGGACATGTCGCTCATGTCAGCTGTGGCATACCTGTATTACGTTCTGTGTGGTGGACATGTCGCTCATGTCAGCTGTGGCATACCTGTATTACGTTCTGTGTGGTGGACATATCACCCATGTCAGCTGTGACATACCTGTATTACATTCTGTGTGGACATGACATATCAGCTGTGACATATCGCTCATGTCAGCTGTGACATACCTGTATTACCTGTAATCTGTGAGGCGGACATATCGCTCATGTCAGCTGTGACATACCTGTATTACGTTCTGTGTGACAGACATATCACTCATGTCAGCTGTGACATACCTGTATTACATTCATCATGTCAGCTGTGACATACCTGTATTACGCTCTGTGTGACGTTCATGTCAGCTGACATACCTGTATTATTCGCTCTGTGATGGACATATCACTCATGTCAGCTGTGACATACCTGTATTACGCTCTGTGTGACCTGGACATATCGCTCATGTCAGCTGTGACATACCTGTATTACGTTCTGTGTGACAGACATATCACTCATGACATATCATATCGCTTCATGTCAGCTGTGACATACCTGTATTACGTTCTGTGTGATGGACATATCGCTCATGTCAGCTGTGACATACCTGTATTACATTCTGTGTGGCGGACATATCGCTCATGTCAGCTGTGACATACCTGTATTACGTTCTGTGTGGCGGACATATCGCTCATGTCAGCTGTGACGTACTCGTATTGCCCCTGTGTGCTGCCTACTTGTCTGCATCGAGCTACTACCTGGAGATACAGAACACAATACTGCTATGTGTACATGGCCCTCAAAGTCATCAGCAACTGTCAAGATAGAACAGATCATAGAAGATACGAAAGATCAACCTGGTCAAGCTAGTAAGTGAAACATATAAAATTTCTTGTCAATGGTAACAAACGTGCAGATTTTCAGAGTGTGAGTGGAAACTGCATCCTTCATTGAAAACTGATGTCTTCAGAGCAATGATTTACTTGCTCCCCAAGAAATATACATTTAGTATGTTGACTAACACACACCTGCTTGAGCACCTCCTCTCGTCGAGCAGTGATCAAAATCTTGGCACCAAACCTTGCATAGTGATATGCAATCTGTTCTCCTATACCGGTTGATGCTCCAGTTATAACTACCCGTTTACCTTTCAATGTGTCTGCAACAAAACCATTCATCATGCAAAAGTTATCACATGGGTTTCAGCTTTTTGTTATCGGAAACCAATATCAAGGTCACATGTCAAGGTCAATGTGAAAGAAACAAAGAAGGGTTGAGTAACAGCCATAACAAGTTTCAACTTTCTGTGTAAACATCACAAGGTCAAAATTAAAATATTGCAAAAATACCCCTCAAAACACAACAGGATATACATGTAAAGACCAACTACTGATTACAGTGACCACTGTACCACATGTTATTACATTTTGAGCACAACTATCCTCAGCTGGTAGTATATGTTTCATACTATTTACTTCCTACTAGTTTTATGTTTTGTTGCAATGCTGTGAACATTGGTTTTATTTTGTAGAAATTCACTCCTGTGAAAATTAGCTGGCAATTTTCTGATCTCTTGCTTTGGAGAAAGGCACTAGTATTGTTGAAACCCATTATCACTTACCAATTAGATAATTTAACTTATCCATATAAAAATGGCTAAATATATGACTGCCACAAGCTACATTACATGATGCAGCAACCTTTCTTACATGTTGCTGTAATGTACTAAGATCATATATACTTCACATCAAACGTTTAGACTCACTTAAAACACTCACTATATGTTATGTATACATATATATTGTTACATCTAAGATTGACTTCTCCACTAACTTGGGGGAACCAACTGCAAACCTTATGCAGATGAATTGCACGAGGATTATGCATCAAATTGCTGAAAAGCATGTGCAAATATTGTGCACGTAAACAGCTGTGTTTTGGTGTAAAGTTTTGTTATGAATTTGCCAATTTTCACTGAGTTTTATCATTTATTGAACTCATGACAATAATCTTTCCAACGTTACAAATTTGTTTTACAATACAACAGTTCATGTGTAAACAGTACCTTTAAACAGTATGGAATATTTTGCAAAATTTAGATTAGAACAGTTGCCAGAAGTAAGTGGCTATATTTATACTAGTCAGTCTAAACTTGTGATGGGAAGTATATATACTAATATATTGGGTGTTTTGTTTTGCAGTCACAGGAATGAAAAAACAGACTTGCCTCCCTTGTAGTAGTTACCTCTCTTTACATGGAACAAACTGATTAATTTGGCATGATTATACAAACCTCTGAACTCAACAAATGTAACAGTCATTGATGCTTGGACAGAAAGTATGCAATTAAATAAAGTAATCAACTTTTCATTAAAACTATTCCTTAACTAATCCTGACATTAGTGTATGTTAAAGATTTATTCATATCCTATTGTCAACAATATTTAATGATTATTCATATTACCAGAAATTAATCAGTTCAATATCCAATATCAATTTATGACATGTACAGTTAAAGTATTTTGAAAACAACAACCAAACAACAAAGAGTACATTCATTTTACAGAATTTAGTTTCACATAACTGAATCCCTAAAGCAGAAGATGACACCACTCGCATTGAGGTGAGGTGAGGTGAAATTGGGTTTACGTCGTGCTTGAGAATATTTCGCTCATATGACGACGTGTATGCGTGTGTATGTGTATGTGCGGCTGCTTGTACTAGCCCAGACTTAAGCTGGTTTTCTAGTGCTAGCCCACTGAGATGCCATGCCGCAGTGAAGCATGAATACCCCACTCAGACACATAATACTGACTCCGAGCCGACCAGTCCTTGTTGTACCCATTAATGCCGAGCGCCAGACAGGGACCAACAAGTACCATATTTTAAAGGTCACATAAACCCTAGGGGTTAAAAATACATAAATCACTAACTGGCATCGTTATAAATGAAACCTCGTCATTAAAACTACTCATTTCAACCTTTAATTGACTTAAATCGACCTTTTTGACAACAGTGCACAATTCTCACCCGCAAACGAAATTTCAACCAATCAGAGCGGCGCGACTCTGTGACGCCATATGAGGAATAGCTTTGAGGGCCGATGCAGAATTCATCTACATTTTAGGGGTAAATTATCTTGTTTACAGGCTTGTATAAACCTGAAATCGTGACAATTGTCGTGGAAAATGAAAGCTATATGTTCTCACAATCTACTGGCATTTAATTTTGTCTCCTGCTTTGCCTAGTTTCTGAGTTACAACTTGTTTTCATAGACGCTTCTGTCACAATTGATTGGTGTCGTTAGGGCCCTATTTGTATAATGACTGATCCAAATTGATCCCATTTCTGTGTTTTTTACCTCGATATTTAATCATGTCATGTAAAAATCTGTTTGTATTCTCAAAACAGTGTCGGCCCATAAGTTTTCACATGCAATACAGCAATTAATACTCCCTTGTTGTAACCTCGTGTTAGGTGGTATAAACCTACACATGTTATTTGTCATCATTCACTTGATGGTCAGTTAATGAATTTATAACAGGTATAATTAGTGGTAACATACTTAGATTACCCGACAAAGGTTCCCATTTGGCATTTCTTGTGTCTGGAGTAAATATTCAACATTATAAACATCGATCAAAGGATTAACCGATAACACGCTGATTGATTAATTACTTTTATCTTACACAGCGGAATTGTCAAAAGGTAGTGTTTATGTATGTAGATTTACTAATCTATACTGAATACACTCTGCCGTGTCGGTGTTCATGCGTAAAACAACGTCCTTCTTTCAAAGGATTAACCGCAATACATTGATTGATTGCCCATTATTGGCTAACTAAATTACTGCTTTTAATGAAAGCTGACATTATGCAATTAGTTGCCAGGTGTGCTATCTTGGGTGACCAATGAGACTATACACCAATACCTGAAAAGATTTATCACTTTTCAGAATTAAACTGTTAAAAGACACATCATTTGGAACAGTTTTGTGGATATTGATGGATACATTCCTCTAACAAGGTAATGGCCTGATATTGTTCCTATAACTTTAATCTGTTTTAATTTTAATATTTGCATTTTGTTTTTATTCATTTGTCGAAGCATTCAACAGAATCATTGTTTTCGCTACGTAGAAGTGTAATGAGACAGACAACATACACTAGGGTGTGTGTGCGAATTATGATTCACATTGGCAAACTATAAAATGTCTAGATATTACAGTTCTGTTATAAATTCACTATAAGTATCAGCAGATCGTCAGCTTTTTATTTAGTTTCAAAATGCATAAAAGTATGATAATAAACTAATTAGGATTATAAGACCAAATATAAAGACGCATTACTGACTAGTATCTACATACTGGTGAGTGGACATTAACCATGTGAATGTAGCAAGAAATTTATCGTGCAGTATTGTGACTTCGACCCCCACCTCGCCTGCGGAAGAAATCGCGTTATGTTATAAGTTCTGTCATGCAAAATCCTTTTGGTTATGATTCCAATACATATTTAATTCATGTAGAAAGTAGTTTTGATTTTCTAACTTGATGAAAACAAACTATAATCTCATTTATTCTAACAGACTTTACGATTTTCAAAATGGCGCAAGTGCTCTGTCGGAACATCCGCCAGTCTGTGGATAAATGCTATTTAGGTTTGTTTTCACCGAAGTTACAAAAATCAAAACTACTTTCTACTGGTAGTAAAATATGTATTTTATTGATGGCCAATAGGATTTTGCATGACATAGCAGCGTATAACATACAACAATTTCTCTCCTGGCAGCGAGGTGGTGTCAATATAATACTACTTACAATATTATTGTTACTGACCACAACCTCACTTCCGAGGAAGAAATCGGTAGTTTTGATTCCTTTAACTTCCTCGCGGAAGCCGCATCTGAACACAAGTAAGATATCAAGCTTCAGGCTTCCACAATGCTCGCTTTCACAACGTCGATAACCTTATTTAGCACTAATCCGCGGGTCCTCAGAAATTCAGTGCATGGTGACACCATCACCCTCACCCCTTAGGAGCAATTGATGACAAAAGCAACGATTCGGCATGTCGCCGTTCATGTCGAAATCATCAAAATGATGGAGCGTATACACACTTTCTATACAACTAACTGAAAATCGCTCTTCATATGACGCCATCACAGTTTCACAGAGTTACGTGAACTGTGTCTGTGTATTTCAAGTATGAAGAGAGGGAAGCAGGCTTAATTTTGGCCAATTTTAATCGTCAGTATTAATTAACCACAAGTTTTTAGAGAATAAATTTGGTGGTTCCGGTGATAAGACTAACCACACAAATCTTTCATATGTAATGGTTAAAAGAGTAACAACAAAAACAAAGTTTAGTGGTTCTTAACGCTTTTTGGTATGACGCGGTCGGGATCGAACTCCGCGATCTTTCCGCCTTCTCCCGGCGGACGCTTAACCACTCACCACGGACGGAGGTCCACTCGCATTGAAGAGGATAACACCTGACTGAACAATTCTGTTAAAACCATGTACATGGGTACATTTGTACTCTCATCTATGTAATGTGATTGACTTGCAGATGTAGCAAAAATGTGAGTCAAAACATGGATGAAGACTTTGTATGCTGGATGACTTTTCTACAGACTGAGGGGTCCAGAAAAAATTGTTTTGTTAAAACTAAAATGCTCCCTTTACTGAATTCATCTGTGCAGCAATGCTGTATTGTGTATGAATGTCATTTATCTGAGATGGACACAACAATGATTGAAAACAGATGTCGCCTGAAATAACCAATCAGTGAATAGCTACAACCAGAGTGCCTTACATCGATACACAGTACATGTCACAGCATACCCTGAATCCCACCCCAGGTTCGATTCTCAATACGGGCATTGAATCCAGAAGCCCATTTCTGGTGTCCCCACCATGATATTGCTGGAATATTGCTAAAAGCGGTGTAAAACCATCCTCACTTACTATACCACATCCATTATTACAGTGGAAGACACTCATCCAATGTCGTTACAATGTGGGGCCAAGTCACAGTGCCAAAACTGGACCAACAAGAAAGGGTTGTTCAAACAATATATGGAACCAACATAGGACCAACATTAGGCATGGGCCAAAACTAACCAATATCTTTGTGTTTGCTGGAGGAGGTTTTGTAATACGCGTGCTGAAGTGGCAGAGTGGGTCATCAGTCACAATGGGATTCCATAGATAAACTTTCAGCTTCTTTGGTCGTTGGGTGTCTGAGGAGATGATGTTTATGCTGGATGCTGCCTGGAGGCTTGTGGATCATAGCCACATTAGGGCCAGCCAAACATAAGTTCACTTTAACTCGGGAGTAACAAAAACCTGATTGCTGATCTTGATCAAAATGTTTTCAAACCTTCTACTGTAGGTATGCATAATGTTTATAAATAAATGCATGAATACCTTTTTAACAAGAGTAACCAGAAATGCTATGGAGGGGTTTACCTTTCATGCAGTGTCACCTATGACTTCAAGGGCCAGCTAAAGCGTGAGGTGAGGTGAAATTGGCTTTAACGTCGTGGTTTGAGAATATTTCGCCATATGACGACATCGCAGTACGCTGCAGTGTATGTGTATTACTGCGCGGCTGCTTGCAATAGCCAGACTGAAGCTGGTTTTAGCCAGTAGAAAACTTGACAGTTTGGTTGTTAACACTCAGCAAAAAGTCCATCAACATACGCAGAGTCCTTAGGGTCAATGCAGGATAATGTGGATATAGACCGTACCGGTGTAATTCAAATCCAGAATATTCACAAGAGGGATGAGGGATCGCCGGACTCAGCTAACATGAGATTGATGTCAGAGTGTACTGATTATGTGTTTAATACCAGCTGTATGTCAGAATGATCAGATAATGTGCTTAATACCACGCGGTATGTCTGATTGACCTGATTGCAGTTTAATAACACGAATGTCAGAATCAGATTACTGTGTTTAATACCACATGGATGTCAGAAATGATCAGATAATGTGTTTAATACCACGTATGTCGTAAATGATCAGATAATCGTGTTTAATACATACCATCGGTATGTCTGGAATGACCTGATACTGTGTTTAATACCACATGGATGTCATAATGACCTAATAATGTGTTTAATTGATGTCAGAATGATCAGATTTGCGTTTAATACCACGGTATGTCAGAATGACCTGATACTGTGGCTTATACCACATGGATGTCAGAATGACCTAATAATGTTTAATACCAAGTAGTATGTCAGAATGACCTGATAATGTGTTTAATACCACATGGATGTATCATGGATGACCTAATAATGTGTTAATACCACGTGGTGTATATCAGGAATGACATGATTATGTTTAATACTCACATGGATGTCAGAATGATCAGATTATGTGTTTAATACCACATGGATGTCAGAATGATCTGATACTGTGTTTAATACCACATGGATGTCAGGATGACCTGATACTGTGTTTAATACTCACGTATGGAGGTTCGAATGAATCTCCCTACTAATGTGTTTAATACCACATGGATGTCAGAATGATAAGATAATGTGTTTAATACCACGTGTATGTCAGAATGACCTGATACTGTGTTTAATACCACATGGATGTCAGAATGACCTAATAATGTGTTTAATACCACATGGATTTCAGTGATGATCAGATAATGTGTTTAATATTCAATGGTATGTCAGAATGACCCGATTATGTTGAATAATTGGCGTCTGAATTATTACTCGTGTTTAATACCACGTAGTAAGTCAGAATGACTCCAACTAATGCGTTTCTAATACCACATGGATGTCAGAATGATCAGATAATGTGTTTAATACCAATGGGTATGTGTCAGAAGGATGTCAGAATGACCTGATAATGTGTTTAATACCACATGGATGTCAGAATGATCAGATAATGTGTTTAATACCACATGGATGTCAGAATGACCAGATAATGTGTTTAATACCACATGGATGTCAGAATGATCAGATAATGTGTTTAATACCACATGTCAGAATGATGATAATGTGTATGTCAGAATGACCTGATACTGTGTTTAATACCACATGGATGTCAGAATGATCAGATAATGTGTTTAATACCACGTGTATGTCAGAATGACCCGATTATGTGTTTAATACCACATGGATGTCAGAATGATCAGATAATGTGTTTAATACCACGTGTATGTCAGAATGACCTGATTATGTGTTTAATACCACATGGATGTCAGAATGATCAGATAATGTGTTTAATACCACGTGGATGTCAGAATGACCCGATGATAATGTGATTATGTGTTTAATACCACATGGATTTCAGAATGACCAGATAATGTGTTTAATACCACATGGATGTCAGAATGACCTGATAATGTGTTTAATACCACATGGATGTCAGAATGATCAGATACTGTGTTTAATACCACGTGTATGTCAGAATGACCTGATAATGTGTTTTAATACCATGGGATGACCTGATACTGTGTTTAATACCACATGGATGTCAGAATGTATGTCAATACCACATGGGATTCGTTACTGTCACACATGAAGGTCACCTGCTTCACAATTCTAGCTGTATGTAGTCCTGCGAATTACATGTGAAGGTCACATGACCTGCTCACCTGGATCAAAGTCATCGTACAGCCAGTAGCCAATCACCAGGCCAACTAACACTGCCAAGATCTTCTTCCACATCCTTGATACCTGGAATACACAGTACAAGGTTGTACTCAAATGGCTATACATACATGTCATCAAACTTGATCTAATATTTTCTGTAGTTATCAATAAGGGAGTTTTAGTTGTGTGTTTACATACAGCGTCTCTACTAATCACAGATTTACACTTATCAGAGGGGTACACAAAAACGTCCGCAGTCTAGACTAACAGTTGTCCGACTTCCCTTTTTGTGTGGAAGCCGCGGTGACTGAGTGGGTTAGGCGGCTGACTTTGAGTGTTGGCGATTAGGTGCCAGACTCTGAGGGTGCGGGCTCGAATCCTGCATGGGAGTCAACCCAAAAAGTACTAGAATTTGTACTTTACTAAGAAAGTGTAATCCCAAATATAACATACATGTATGTTGCATTTGAGGAGAGATCACTCACTTTCCATTTAGTTTTGTCGATCAGTGTTGAATGGAAATATCATATGTGAATAAAAAATCCCTGCAGATTTCATATATAGTGTTACAAATAATAACACAACTATTTATATATTTTTTACACAAAAAAATAAAAAATACTGCAACACAAACAGTTTGAATAGCTGACTGAAGTAACCTGTCGAGCCCAAGTTAATAGTGACCTGCATGACTAGGTATCTCAACAGTCTCGGTACTTGGCAAGCTGACTTGTCTCAACTTATCAGCTTGTTTACCATCTTCAACAATCTGTTTGCATTTTAGAAAATTGTTTTTGACCTATTTGGTCTTTTGTAGTGATTAAATAATACTATAAGTCTGGCAAAATCCATCAGTGTTTGCAGGCATCAGTATAATCAAGCTGGACGGCATGTCTCCCCACCATTATAGAAACTCTCCTGTTCCATAACCTGTGGGCTAAATATATAATCTGACAGTCCCTGTGTTTGTCTATGCACTGTTAAACACACATACCTAGATTGGGTAGGGACACTGACCACCATACACTCAGCCAGCTGAAGATCTGGGCCAGCATGAGATTAGTGGAAATAACCTCATAGACAGCAAGAGCTTGGTACATTAAGTTCCTGTGAGTGTTTAGACTGGGGGTTGCATGGGCCGTGGCTATTTACATGATACAGCCATGAAGTACATCAGCATCTTGCAGATGTCCCCCAGCCCTTGCTGCCTCCACCTCTCTGCTGCCTCCACCTCCCTGGTGGGGGAGCGGCACACAGGCAAACACTACAATAATGGGGACGGAGGCCATGTTATTCCATCTCGATATACAGGTACAGACACACACAATCTGACACTTTACATAAGCATGTTATACACTAGTTTTCCCTCTCACGTTGTACATATTTGTGTTGAGGAGAAAGCTGAGTTCCAGACTCAGATACCCCAGTAGTGAGTGACCAGACCACGCTATGATTGCATGTAATGCTGTACGCGTCTCACCAAACATGTCCTGATAACACCCTCTACTCAGTGAATGAGTGAGTGAGTGAGAGTCCTCTTCCCCCAAGCTGCTGAGACATATTATCAACCACTTCTTTGCCATTATTTTATAACCACAGACTTTTCAATTTGATATCAATAATGCATACCACAGACAGGACAGTTTGATATTAAAGTACTGTCGGAAATAGAAAAAAACTGTTTTTTTCACATTTATATCTACAATTTAGGTAGTTAATATGTGAAAGTGTGAAATATCTGTTAACCTAAGTTCGGGTTAACTACAGCCGCAGTGGTACGGAGATAGGAAACGTAAAAGAAGGATTTTACTGAGGAGAGATTAGTGCAGAAATGAGCAATGCATCTTATTCAGAACAGACCATGGCTTTATGCAAATTAGTGTGCGATGATATTGTATTACAAAGGACACTTTTTAAATGATCATTTTGAAATTAGACTTAGCTTCATTATCAACGATAGCAGACGTAAAAATAATAACTTTAATACTGAAACTATTAAGGATGTAGCTACCATGGCGTCTCACTATCACTATAAAAAGAAACAGGTAGGAGGGGTCGTCTCAAAAGCAAAACCAGGACGGGTATCGCAGACGGTGGTTGGAGTCGGGCTAGGGAACTGAGATATTAGCTAAGATAAGATAATCAATAGAGACATATTCAATACACATGAAAAAACATAAAATATCTTTGAGATGACCCCTTGTGCCTGTGGGCAGCACGTGCATTTCATGCCGTGTGAGTCGACAGTCCGTCGTCATACCTGGCGACCTAATTGCCATCTTTAGTCTGATCTATTGTTTTCAGCAGCTATTCGTATTTTACGAGTAAACATGCTTTTTGGATATCCTATTACGCATCCCCCTGAACCCCCAGTTAGACTGATGTGGGCTATCTATTTCGACATATGCTATTTGCAATTGTGTAAATTTAGTGATACAGAGTAACAGCCTAAAATAGTTTTTTTCTATTTCCGACAGTACTTTTATAATGCATACCACAGACAGGACAGTTTGATATCAATAATGCATACCACAGACAGGACAGTTTGATATCAATAATGCATACCACAGACAGGACAGTTTGATATCAATAATGCATTCCACAGACAGGACAGTTTGATATCAATAATGCATTCCACAGACTGGACAGTTTGATATCAATAATGCATACCACAGACTGGACAGTTTGATATCAATAATGCATACCACAGACTGGACAGTTTGATATCAATAATGCATTCCACAGACTGGACAGTTTGATATCAATAATGCATACCACAGACTGGACAGTTTGATATCAATAATGCATTCCACAGACTGGACAGTTTGATATCAATAATGCATGCCACAGACAGACAGTTTGATATCACAGTTTGATATCAATAATGCATACCACAGACTGGACAGTTTGATATCAATAATGCATGCCACAGACAGTTTGATATCAATAATGCATACCACAGACTGTTTGATATCAATAATGCATACCACAGACTGGACTGTTTGATATCAATAATGCATGCCACAGACTGTTTGATATCAATAATGCATACCACAGACTGGACAGTTTGATATCAATAATGCAAACCACAGAGTACTTTTATAGCACCTCATCCACATCACTCAGGGACATACAATCTGATTTTATTTACCCCGGACAACCCATTAGCTGTCTGTGAGGGCTAGAAGATTAATAGTCACATGACTTATCCCACCCGGTACCCATTTTCTGCAGGGTGAACAGTTGCAATTTTGAACAAACTTACATGCCTAAGGCTTCATGTGCTTCATTGTGGGGCAGGACTGAAGTCCTAGAAACTCTCAAGAGTCAAGCTACCAAACACGGTCACCCATCCAAGGACTCTCCACGCTCAGCTTTGCTTAACTTCAACTGATTTGTGACCTGAGCTCTATGCACAGGACCACACACCACCACTATAAATCTATGGGTCCAGGACAACTGGAGCTCCTACAATCATGACAGTGTTCAGGAAATCCAGCTCTCAAGTTTACAGGTTTAAATGATGTCTACTTATTAATAAATTGAAACAAAACCCCACATTATTGTTGTGATGTTTTAGGTTTAACTTTATCAACAAAAGGTATGGCTACACTTATTACATGGTGATTGTAAGTTTCTTGAGTACCCAAGGGAGGCAACTATGCACAATGAATAAAGGCACCTTACACGACTGGGCCACCTTTGCTCTCTCTCTAGTGACAGTACAGATTTTCATATTCATTAACATAAATATATATTTACATTCTGCACAACTGACTAATTGGAATGATATTTTAAATAAAGTTAAAGTGATCAGACATTGGGAACTAGTGATCTACTTTAAGATTCCTCCGACATGGTTTGTTTACATAATGGTGAAACATGAATTACAATACACAGTCTTGTTTTACACCTGGTCCTCCAGCATCAACCATAAGTCACCCCTAAAACACTTCAGTTGACTGTGGAATGAACTTGGCTGCATGATGGGTTATAGGCAATACTCAAACACACACCAGCGTATTACATTCCCTGTAGTAACACATTCCCTGTAGTAACACATTCCCTGTAGTAATACATTCCCTGTAGTAACACATTCCTGTAGTAATACATTCCCTGTAGTAACACATTCCCTGTAGTAATACATTCCCTGTAGTAACACATTCCCTGTAGTAACACATTCCCTGTAGTAATACATTCCTGTAGTAACACATTCCCTGTAGTAATACATTCCATTCCTGTAGTAACACATTCCCTGTAGTAACACATTCCCTGTAGTAACACATTCCCTGTAGTAACACATTCCCTGTAGTAACACATTCCCTGTAGTAACACATTCCCTGTAGTAATACATTCCCTGTAGTAACACATTCCCTGTAGTAATACATTCCCTGTAGTAATACATTCCCTGTAGTAATACATTCCTTGTAGTAACACATTCCCTGTAGTAACACATTCCCTGTAGTAACACATTCCCTGTAGTAACACATTCCCTGTAGTAACACATTCCCTGTAGTAACACATTCCCTGTAGTAACACATTCCCTGTAGTAACACATTCCCTGTAGTAATACATTCCCTGTAGTAACACATTCCCTGTAGTAACACATACATTCCCTGTAGTAACACTTTCCCTGTAGTAATACATTTCCCTGTAGTAACACATGCTTAAGGCAGCAGATATGCATACATAAGTATATACATGTTGTAATGTAGGTAGTAAGCAACTGACTGTTCACCTGTCGGAGTGGGAAGCAACGTTCCACTCATCTGTCCCACTGCTGTGCTCAGGTAGAAATGTCCCTCACACAAGCAGACAGCCCGGCAGGGGAGGAAGCAGGCTAGAGGTCTGCAGTGTCCCTAGCACTGACCACCAGCAGCACCCTGTGTTGACAGAGACCCCAGTGACGGACAGCTGACAGACAGGGCACAGACAGAGTTGCTTCACTGACAGGAGCACACGTGCCAGATGCCTATCAGTAGCTTGTCACACATCCTCACAGGGCCTGGGACACCCACAGCAGGCAGGAAGCCATCTGGAGGCCTCTCACTTCATGTGAAGGAGGAGGAGGGCACATAGGAAGAACTGTTGGCTCAGCACAGCAATCAGTGGGACGGGCTGCGACAGGGCGTTACACGGGTGGTGTTGGAAGTTCTGCATTATTCAGTATCTGAACATGGAGTAATGATCACTCAATCGAACTGTAATTTGAGAATCAACATATGTGCTCCACACAGCCTCATAGCACCTCCTGTTGGTTGAGGGCAGTGTTGGGTGGTGCCATGGGTGCCTGCCAGGGTTGTTGGGTTAGTGTTTGGTGGTGTGTCATTGGAAGTCTGCCAGGGTCAGGTCTGGGGCAGTGTTTGGGTGGTGTTGGTGGTTGTTAGTTCACTGCCAGGGTCCAGGTCTTTGGGCAGAATCAACATATGTGCTGGTGTCATAGTTCACTGCCAGGGGGTCTGGGGCAGTGATGGTGTGTCATTGTTAGTTGAGGTCTGGGCAGTGTTTGTCATTGTCATTGTTAGTTCACTGCCAGGGTCCAGGTCTGGGGCAGTGTTGATGGTGTCATTGTTAGTTCTGCCAGGGTCCAGGTCTGGGGCAGTGTTTGGTGTGGTGTCCATCTGTTTTGGTGGTGTCAGTTAGTTCACTGCCAGGTCCAGTGTTGGATGGTGTCAATGGTTCACTGCCAGGGTCCAGGTCTGGGGCAGTGTTGGTGGTGTCATTGTTAGTTAACTGCCAGGGTCCAGGTCTGGGGCAGTGTTTGGTGGTGTCATTGTTAGTTCATTGCCAGGGTCCAGGTCTGGGGCAGTGTTTGGTGGTGTCATTGTTAGTTCACTGCCAGGGTCCAGGTCAGTGTTGGATGGTGTCATTGTTAGTTCACTGCCAGGGTCCAGGTCTGGGGCAGTGTTGGATGGTGTCATTGTTAGTTCACTGCCAGGGTCCAGGTCTGGGGCAGTGTTGGGTGGTGTCATTGTTAGTTAACTGCCAGGGTCCAGGTCTGGGGCAGTGTTGGATGGTGTCATTGTTAGTTAACTGCCAGGGGTCATTGCCAGGGTCCAGGTCTGGGGCAGGTCTGGGGCAGTGTTGGATGGTGTCATTGTTAGTTCACTGCCAGGGTCCAGGTCTGGGGCAGTGTTGGATGGTGTGATTGTTAGTTCACTGCCAGGGTCCAGGTCTGGGGCAGTGTTGGATGGTGTCATTGTTAGTTCATTGCCAGGGTCCAGGTCTGGGGGTGTGGGGTGTTGGATGGTGTCATTGTTAGTTCATTGCCAGGGTCCAGGTCTGGGGCAGTGTTTGGTATGATCATGGTAGGTGATTCAGCCTAATGTCCTTCCTTGCTGTGATATTGCTACAGCATTTTGTTATTTATTACTTGGTCACAGATTGTATGTTATAAAGCAGTCAGTTGGTGGTTGAAATGAATATAAAATTGCTGACACTCATTTCTTTAGACTAATCATATGCTTGGCAAGGTGAAATGAAAGAACAGATACTACTTACCTGAGAGGAAAATACCATGCACTTTTTTCAATCTAATCTTGTGAATATTTTTGAAAACAATTTATCTACAAAAACATTTTATGTGTACCACAAGTGGCCTAACCCCAGGCAGACATTACCTAGGCCGGCTGAAGACACTTTATAAACAGATGTTTCCTCAATAACATTCAGTTATTTCATTTTGATTTGAATGCAAACATAAATCTGGTATGACAAAATGGCACAGATGTTTAATACAGAACAGCTTTGAATGTGAGGTTGCTTGAATCCTGAGAGAGTGTGGAGATCAGTGGTTTTGAGGAATGAATGATCAACTGTGTTGAAGCATGGTAGTCCATGAACACACCCATCATCAAACCATCTTAAAGTGGATGAGTCACTGTCAGCTTTCCCATCTTAAGTTTGCTTTTCTTAAATCATAATACAGCAATAGAGTGGAACAATCTCCCCTTCCATCTTAGAGTCTCAAACTTTCAATTTCTTCAAATCTCACCTTAAGACCCATCTATTTCAAACTGTCTTTGTTTGACTGACTTTTCATCTCCATATACCTTGGGCACTTAACGCATGCATTGAGCATAGATTAATCCGCTGTCATCAATTGACGATTAAGATTATTATAAATTGGCTTGAAATGGAAAGTATACATTCTTGAGTTAATCTACCATGGTCATCCTCTCTTGACACCAATCTTACATCATACAGGTGAAGTGTTTCTAATGTAACTGTTGAGGGGAGTGCGGTGAAGCAAGTCAATACAGATGAAGGTAAAATAAAACTCACTCATACATGCACAAACTGAAATTTAAATTTTTTATGTAGGCAATAATAAGATGAAAATACAAAATACAGATCTCATTTTCCCCCATAAATTTTCAAATTCAATTTATAATTTTGCAATTATAAGATTCACCTATCTTGAAATGTCCTGAGACCTACATTTAAAACCCATTTTAAGATTGAAAAGAGCCTAGGGAGACCAGAGAGAGATGTGAACCTGGGGAAATCTAGACTTGCTTAGACTAGCTTTAGCACTGCAGGGAGGGCTGGCAGGGGAAATAATGTGGTTCAGGGACTGTGAGACAGACTACATTGCACTGCAGGGAGGGCTAGGTAGTAGGGGAAATAATGTGGTTCAGGGACTGTGAGACAGACTAGCTTTAGCACTGCAGGGAGGGCTGGGTAGTAGGGGAAATAATGTGGTTCAGGGACTGTGAGACAGACTAGCTTTAGCACTGCAGGGAGGGCTGGGTAGTAGGGGAAATAATGTGGTTCAGGGACTGTGAGACAGACTAGCTTTAGCACTGCAGGGAGGGCTGGGTAGTAGGGGAAATAATGTGGTTCAGGGACTGTGAGACAGACTAGCTTTAGCATTGCAGGGAGGGCTGGGTAGTAGGGAACATAATGTGGTTCAGGGACTGTGAGACAGACTAGCTTTAGCACTGCAGGGAGGGCTAGGTAGTAGGGGAACATAATGTGGTTCAGGGACTGTGAGACAGACTAGCTTTAGCATTGCAGGGAGGGCTGGGTAGTAGGGAACATAATGTGGTTCAGGGACTGTGAGACAGACTAGCTTTAGCATTGCAGGGAGGGCTGGGTTGTAGGGAACATAATGTGGTTCAGGGACTGTGAGACAGACTAGCTTTAGCATTGCAGGGAGGGCTGGGTAGTAGGGAACATAATGTGGTTCAGGGACTGTGAGACAGACTAGCTTTAGCATTGCAGGGAGGGCTGGGTAGTAGGGAACATAATGTGGTTCAGGGACTGTGAGACAGACTAGCTTTAGCATTGCAGGGAGGGCTAGGTTGTGGCTAGGGGAAATAATGTGGTTCAGGGACTGTGAGACAGACTAGCTTTAGCATTGCAGGGAGGGCTAGGTTGTAGGGGAAATAATGTGGTTCAGGGACTGTGAGACAGACTAATTGACTTGTGTTGATCCTCACAGCTCACCCCTCCAGCTGGCTACACTTCATGAGGCAGAAGCCATGGACATGGAAGCTATCTTTAGACACACTCTTTGTGCTCATCAACAACTACAACAAGACAAATATTTACCAGCTACCACTTATTGCCAGCAAGCCCAGGCCTGTGTTTCATAATGCCCTGTGTGAACACAGTCGGAATGATCCAAGTCTGGCTGTTCCTGATCCCATAGGCTGTTGACATGCCTGCTGACATATGCTCACACTGTTTGTACACGCCAGCTTCTGGATCAAGTGGTCAGATGTGACATGAACACTTATAGCCGTTCCTACTGGCTGGCTGGAGGATCACTAGCAGCCTTCTCTCAGTTGAATATGTGTCTCACGATAATCTCAGTAGGGAATACACCTCTAATTGCTACTCTCAGATAGAAATACACATCACGCTAGTCTCACTAGGGAATAGTCACCTCACGCTCCTCTCAGAAGGGAATACACCTCATGCTCGTCTTAGTAGGGAATAGTCACCTCTTGCTAGTCTCAGATGGAATTACACATCACGCTAGTCTCAGTAGGGAATAGTCACCTCACGCTTGTCTCAGAAGGGAATACACCTCTCGCTAGTCTCAGTAGGGAATAGTCACCTCACGCTAGTCTCAGTAGGGAATAGTCACCTCATGCTAGTCCCAGTAGGGAATAGTCACCCTCACTTAGTTTCAGTAGGAAATAGTAACCTCACTGCCTAGCTCTCAGAAGGGAATACACCTCTAGCTAGTCTCAGAATGGAATAGTCACCTCACGCTTGTCCTCTCAGTAGGGAATGACAGTCACCACCCAGCCTCAGTAGGGAATAATCACACCATGCTAGTCTCAGTAGGGAATAGTCCTCCCTCACGCTGTCCCAGTAGGGAATAGTCACCTCACGCTTAGCCCAGTAGGAATAGTCACCCCATGCCACTTTCAGTAGGGAATAGTCACCTCAACTGGCCTCAGAAGGGAATACGCCTCCTCAATGCTAGTCTCAGTAGGGAATAGTCACCCCATCATGCTAGTCCTCAGTAGGGAATAGTCACCTCAATGCTAGTCTCAGTGGGAATAGTCACCCTATGCTAGTCTCAGTAGGGAATAGTCACCTCATGCTAGACTCAGTAGGAATAGTCACCCCACGCTAGTCCTCAGTAGGAATAGTCACCCCATGCTAGTCCCAGTAGGGAACAGTCACCTCTTGCTAGTCTCAGTAGGGAATAGTCACCTCATGCTAGTCTCAGTAGGGAATAGTCACCTCCACGCTTAGTTTCAGTAGGGAATAGTCACCTCATGCTAGTCTCAGTAGGGAATAGTCACCATGCTGGTCTCAGTAGGGAATAGTCACCCCATGCTAGTCTCAGTAGGGAATAGTCACCCCATGCTGGTCCAGTAGGAATAGTCACCTCATGCTAGGACTCAGTAGGGAATAGTCACCTCAGCTAGTCTCAGTAGGGAATAGTCACCTCACATGCTAGTCTCAGTAGGGAATAGTCACCTCAGCTAGTCTCAGTAGGGAATAGTCACCTCATGCTAG